GGGGCGCTTGTTCCATTGAGAATCATATTCGGCGGTAATCCTTACGCAATGCCAGCGTCCTTTCAAAACTGAACAAAAGTGCCACCATTCAAGAGGGTTTAATGTTTTAGTAAGCGTTTTACGGCACTTGCAGCACAAGTAGGCCGTATGAGTGCCAACGATTAGAAATGGTAAGTGGTTAAATAAGTTTATTGAAAAGGCGCATCCTCCGGGTTTAACGTCCATCTACGAAACGACCAAGCCAAATGGGAAATTCGTGTAAAGTGCCTTTCCCAAGGACACAACGACGGACTGAGCTGAGGCTCGAACCCCCCAACCCACAATCTCACAATTATGGGTCCGGAGCCTAACCACAAGGTTACTGACGCCACCAAAGATTAGAGGTGTTACAAGCCAGTAACAAACACAAAAAAGGAGGAGAGACAAGGACGATAGATGTTAGATAGGAAAGAATGGGCAAGCCACACCAGAGCACCCACTAAGCCCCTACATTCATGGTTTTTACCCCAGAACTACAGGAACGTATCTCTATGAGAAATGTAGTGGTGATAAAACCTTATTGTTCTAAGGTTACGGATAGTTTATTATCATAAGCATTCCTTTATTCTTTCTGATCCACGACCTAACAGCTTTTGCACTCTTTACAAACTTGTTTAACTCATTAAGGACACGCATTCTGGTCATTTGGCAACATTTGAAAACACACTGTTTGGAGGCACTTCGGATAAGAAACAGTGTTATTTATACAGATTTTTCAGTGTTCTCTTTATCTGAAACTTTTTTTAAAGTCACGCAATACCTACATACTATAAAATAAGTACATTCGTGTTTCTGATTTGAGTAAGACATAATTATGTGTCCGTTACGTAGTTTAAGAGTTAATAAACTAATCCGCGGATTAGACTGATCGTAACGTGGACAAACGGATTACGGATTACAATCGAGGGTCAGTTAAGGGCTCCGGGTCAGAGGGACTAGTAATCTCGTGGAGCCTTTGATTGATTTATTGTTACTGTTTCTCGGCTCTGTCCACCAAGTTTTGATCAATTGGGAAGCAGGCTGCTCCAATCCTGCAGGCCAGAACCATCTTGGGCTCAGAGGGATACAGCCTCTCAGCAGAAAGAGAAAAGTACTCGATAAAATATCTTTGGCATAATATGTAGATTGATTATATGCAATTTGTGTTATAACATAAATAGCCACTGAATCCCCTTACCTAACACCACAGATGTATGGCTCTTGAATGATGAAAGGATTGTAATTAGATCTATAGCCTACATGTTCCTATTGACACAATGATTTTAGCTGTAAAACAGAGATACTCAATAAAAAAAGTATTCCCACGGGGGAATCGAACAATATATGTTTTTGGCTTCACGGTAGACATAAAGTGTCTATACAGTCTCAAAGTGTCAGTGAATGAGTGATTTACCTTTTTTTGTGTTTAAGCGTAAGCGTTTTTAACACTCCATCGGCACTATTTAGATCATAGAGGAGATGGGCTTGGACCCTACCTGTCAGGGTCAACCCAGACAGATAGGAATGCAATGTCTCAGCAGAACGACTGAGAATCTTGATTTTAAAAATCCTACCCACTGGGGAGGCGAACTTGGGTCTCCTGCATAGCGCCTAAATGTTGTTATAATATAAATCTGGCCGAGTCACCTTAACATATGAATCATACAAACTCATAACTCACAAAGTTCAGAAACCTTAGATCAGAAACCATGTATTCTTGCCTTTAAAAAAAGTACTTTGAGTTTTATGGTTCTTGCAGTGCAGTTTGGTCATACAAGTTCCACAGGTTAGAAGTGTTACTGCAGTATCGTACAAAGACAAGAGGGAGGCGAGGTAAAGACGATGGATGTTTGATAGGGAAAGAAGGAGGTAACCATTTATTAAGAACACCAACCAAGCACCCACTCGTGAGCCGATGTTTTGAGGGATTTTATCTGGTCAGGCAAAGCGTGGGGGGAATACAATAATACTAATAATAATAATAATAACAATAATAATAATAATAATAATAATAATAATAATAATAATAATAATATAGTCTTGTGCTGTTAGTTTTTCGCCTTATTCATCTGGCAGTTGGAGGAAAACGAGCATCGCTTTGAGCTCACTGAACGAACGAATGAATGAATTAAAGAATGAATGAAAGAAAAATCGAATGAATAAATTAATGGAGGAAGGAATATTCAAGTAGTGAATGGATGAATGAATGAATGAATGAATAGATGAATGAATGGATGAATTAATGAATGAATGAATGAATGAATGAATGAATGTATGAATGAATGGATGAATTAATGAATGAATGAATGAATGAATGAATGAATTTCTTTAAATTGCAAAGAATTTCTGTTTGTTATGAATTGTAAGAGTTTTACGGTACTTGCAACGCAATTAAGCCATGTAAGGGTCCACAATTAGAGGCGTCATAAGACGGACAGTTTATCAAACACCAAAAAAGGAGGAGTGGAGAATAAATAAATAAGGACGATAGATGTTTGAAAGGGAAGAAAGAGCAAACCACACCAGAGCACCCGCCTGCCACTCGCGCTAAGAATCTATTTGCGGCTGAGTGAGCTGGCATCAATAATAAAGTGTCTTTTCAAGGGATACAACGTTCTCCGTGGTGAAACCAGAAGTCGAACTCACAGATCGTTTTTTTTTTGTTGTTGTTGTTTTTTTTGTTTCTTTTGTTTTTGTTTTTGTCTTTTATTTTAATTCCAAGTCAAACGCCTTACCGCTCGACAAGCACAGGCTCTCTGTATATCAATGAATAAGTGAAAATCACTCTCATAAAAAATTCACATGCCTTATCTTCGAATTTGCTTCACGTCGATTAACTAATCCAGATGTCGTCTCAGTGTATCAGTGAATGAGTGACTGATTTACAAGTGAATGGATGAATGGATGAATGGCTGAATGAATGAACGAGACAAAGAAGAAGTAAGTGGTAAGTGATGTGAACGAATAAATTACTCATTTTGGACTCACTGCGTAAGTTCCTTAAATGTCAAGGCCGAGTCAAGTCCCTTTAACACACATTCAAACACACAACTCAGGGATTTCACAACGAGAAACACACACATGCACACAAACACACACAAGGAAGGCAGGCAGGCCGGCTGTCCGTCTACACCACACAGTTTCAGGGTAGAATACTCATTACCCGTTCCTCCAGGAAGCAAACCCGTGACTAACGGGCCAAGCTGCGGTGTGACGACGTAGGTGTGGTATGTCAAAACGTTTACCTATTGGGTGTCCCACCCGCTCTCCAAGTGCCGCGATTCCAGTGCAGATCCAACTGACTCCTCGTTCCCTCGTTCGTTCGTTCGTTCGTTCTCTCGGTCACCACCAATCGAGACTTGTTGTTTATGGGACGACCAGCAACGAGGATACAAGTACAGTGTATCGAGCCCACAGAAGTAGGAATAGTGATGCATAGTGCAAAAAGGGGGTTGGGGGGG